GTCCCTGCCCATGGCAGGGGGTGGAACTGGGTGATCTTTAAGTTCCCTTCAAAGCCAAGCCATTCCATGATTCTCTGACAGCATGTGGTGGGTCTGTCCAGGTGGTACATGCCAGCAGGCAGAGCCCTGTGCTTCCCAAAGCCTTTCCACTTTGTTGTGCCTCTCTGCCCAAATTAGAAAACAAACTCAGCCTGAAACAAGAGCAGCACAGGCTGCAGTGACAGCAGGAGAAGTCAATGTGTGACCTCCCACACTTCATCTTTGCCTTTACAGGGTGTTAACTGGTTCCACTGGAAGGGCCATGAGTATTCCATCCAGTTTGCAGAGATGAAGCTGAGACCCTCCAGCTTCCGAAACCTGGAAGGGCGTCGGAAGCGAGCGTAAAGGCCCAGGGGTGGCCAGGGGGCCATGGGCAGGGTGAGGGGGGAGGGATACAGAGTGTGGGGTGTGGGGAGACCCTCTGGCATGGCTGGGGTGGGGTGTGAGCAGCTGGTAGTTGTACCAAAGCATCGATGCTCCTTGGCCCAACAGAGGCTTTGCAGCATTCCCAACAAGAAGCCTTAAACATCCCAGAGTTTCCAGCAGAGCAGCTCCAGCTGCCACCAGTAACATCCTCCACACCAAAGACAACGATCTCAAGGGTTGTATGTTGTTTTCTTAAGTTTGATCTTCCCAGAAAGCCTCTGGGATCAAGTTCTTCCATGGTCTGACTATCTCTTGGGTGGCCCAGGGGAGGGGAGGGAGAACAGCTTTGTTTGTAAATTTGTTGTTTGTTTTACCCCCAGCCATATTTTACACACAGAAATGTGTCAGGTTAATTCTCATTATTATTATTATTAGTTATCATTGGAATTCCTTGGTCCTTTGAAAGCCTTTTTTATATATATATCAAGTACCACAGAGAAGGAGGGGATGGGAAGGGGAAAGCTTTTTAAACTTAAGCATCAGATTAATATTATTAATATAAAGACAAAGTAATAATAATAATAATAATGATAATAATGAGAAGCTTCATGTTTGTCATTTTGGAGAGAACATTGCTTTGGGGAACACAGCAGGACAGTGTCTGATTGTACATTTTTTTTTTTTTATAAATAAAAGCACAATTTAAATAAATTTCTACCTTTTTTTTTTTTTTTATTTTCATACATGTTGAGTTTGTGCATGTCCAGGATATATTTACTTAGATGGGGAAGGAAAAGACAAGCTGAGAATGCTTAGGCTGCTGAGCCCATACTGAAAATTGTTCCCTTTGTCAGTGACTGGTTGTAAGTATTCTGGTGGGTTTGTTCCAGTGAAATGCCCGTGAGGATTTTTTGGTTCTTTTTGAACATAATTCATTGTTTTTCCTGCCCAAAAGCTTCTTACATGTGTTTTCTAAGTGTTACTGACCAATGCTTGCTCCATCTAGGTGGGAATAACTAACAAAAGCAAACCAAGAGAATCCAGAGTTGTTGTTAGGAAACATTGGCAGCTTTGAACACTTGTGTAAATAAAGGGCTCTTTTTTTTTTTTATTTTATATGAATGAAACTCTCTGTAGTTCCTCTGTATCACACCCTTCAGCTGAAGACAATAAAAGATCTTTTGTTTTAAGCCTGTCTCTCTGCCCTACTTCAAGGTTGCACTTTTCAAACAGAGCAAGTGTTTCTGCCTCCTCCTTGGTGCTCACTGGAAGGTGAATGGGAAAGAAGGAGATTTCAAGCAGA